AGGGCGGCTCACAGGGTGAGCACTAGAGAAGAAAGCGCGGGGGGCTGGGGGACGCGGTCTGGGGCTGTGCGCTCGCTCCTGGAGGGATGTGCCGGCGAGAGGAGAGGGCACTGGGCTCTGCTCCCCATCCCTCTGACCTCAGTGCTGCAGGGAACCAGCCCGAGCCGGGGCCTGGAGGTCTGGCCCACTTTCAAAAAGCGGAGGGGAAAGAGAAACACCATCCTCACTCTTTCGAACCAGCTCGCCGAGACCCGACGTTAAATCCTTTCCTAACGCTCCTCTCCATTGGCCCGCCCTCAGCTAACCTGTGCTGCTGGGGTCCGAGAAGGAACTGGGCAGGAGAAGCAGGGTGGGCGTTGCAGGGGCTTCAGATCCAGGGGGGTTGCGCGGGCACAGAGCGCAGGTGGGTGGAGGATATGGGGGCGGCGGGGTGAGGGAGGGGGGCTCCAGAGTGTGAGGACAGATGCAACTCTGCGCAGGGGGCTGGCAGCGGAACCTGCGCACGGGGACAAATGTTTGGGTTGGGCGCAGGTGGGCCTGGGTACACGGACGGTTGGACGTGGGAATGGGCGTTGGCTCGGGGGCACTTTGGGTAGGAAACCCGCCCGGGTGTGGCTGCGGCACAGCCGTTACCTGGGGGAACGGGTCTGTGTGTCTGCCTGTGCCGCTAAGTGTCAGCGCGACTCGGTCACTTTGCAGGGCTAAGGTTCTTCCCAACCCAGAGATTTACACTTTCCCCTCTCCCCAGGCACCACCCGCTGCCCGCCGGGGGGCGCCTTCGCCGCGTGGGGCGGCTCCTTAGTCGGGGTTCATCTTGGCTGCCAGGCGCTCGGCCTCGCCTGGGTATGGCAGGTGTCCCCAAACGGAGGGCAGAAAGCCTTGGGCAATGCAGGGCTGGTGGGGAAGAAACCTGGCAGCCCTTTTGGCCTGGGTCCGATGGACCAGTTGGTTTAGTCCTGGTGCACAGCAGGAAGGGCTTGCACCCCCAGTTCTATCCCCAGGACTTTCTGAGGGCCTTTGCACTGGCTGTTTTCCTTGGCTGCACACTCCTCTCCCACGTTTCAGCGGGACTTCTTTCAGATCTCTGCTCTACCTCTGCCCCCCTCTCTCTCCCTTCACCCTGCTTTATGTTTCTTCATAGCACGTATTCCCAGGTGACATATTATGTATCTGTTTGTGTTTCATGCCAATGTCAGTTCTATGAAAACAGGCTTTGTTTTGTTCATCGCCGTGTTGCCATCGCCTAGAAGAGAGCTGGGTATATGTGGTGCTCATTAAGTACCTGTTGAATGAGTGAATGAACTCCTGCTGCCCATGGAAGGCCAAGCTTAAAGCAGGCGGACAGTAGACCCATGACTGCCAAGTCACTTATACACAGAATCAGTCAACGATGGTTAATGAAGCATCTACCGTGTTTCAGTTGTGTGTGTTTTTTCCTTTCCTGATTTGTGCAAGTGAATACATGCTTCCTAAAAGCAAGGGTGGGGAGCATGGAATAGGGGATGGGATCCAGAGAAAAAGGCATTGTTCCTGCTGGGAGAGCAACTCAATTACTTATCATCAGTTGGAGAAAGGAACAGATATGTACCAGTGAATGGGCTTTCTAGTATCAGAAGCTTCATGTTAAGTATAAAGGAATGAAACAGTTGTGGCTGAAGAGCTCAGAGGACAAGGAGGCCCTGTGAGCTGGAGTCCCTGGTGCTCAATGGGCAGCGTGTGGGGGAGGTGGCAGGAGTGGGGCCTAGAGGTGTAGCACTGCCCAAGGACAAGGGCTCCTCACTGTTGGCATTGGCCTAGAGGCAGAACTGCCGTGGAGCCATGGGGTGAGGCTGGGAGCATAGGTTAGGCCAGATCATGGAGGAGCTTATACTATAGGCATTTAGGTGAGGGTTAGGAGGAAAGTGGGGTAGCAGAGGGTAGGGGTGGGAGGGTGAACTATTAGAAGTCACGAAATGAGGTAGTAATGAGCAAAGCAGATTGTCACCGCAATAAGGCCGTGCACAGATGTGCACAGGTGTATAAGAACATGGGCTGGGTGCCGCCCACAGGCACCTGCTGTATGCAGATGTATACAGGATATCACATGCTGGGTTTGGCTCCTTCCCCAGATTATTTTCTGCAGCTTTGATAAAGGGTGAGTTCCTCTGGCACTCCAGCCAGCCACTCTAAGTCAGCTGGGGGGTGGGGTTTGTTGAGTGGCAGTCTTGTTAATGGGCTTTCTCTACCCTGGTCTATTCTGGTTAATGGCTCCTGGCCAGGCTGACCTCTCTGGCAATTTCTTGTGGGCTCCTTAGGGCCAAGGATCAAGTGCCACCTGCTGGTGAAGATTGGAATAACATCACCACTGCTGGGGATCGATCATTCATTCATTCATTCATTCAACAAATATTTGGAAGGCCTCCTATATGCCAGGCACTGTGCTGGATGGTGGGGATACAGCAATGGCCAATACAGCCTTTGTCTTCATGGAACTTGCTATGTAGTGAGGATTTATTGCCACAACAAAGCAGGGCAGACACAATTCCTGCACTAATGAAATTTACAGTTTACAGGGGATTTTTAAAAAAATATATTTTATTGCCCTAACCGGTTTGGCTCAGTGGATAGAGCGTCGGGCTGCGGACTCAAGGGTCCCAGGTTCGATTCCGGCCAAGGGCATGTACCTTGGTTGTGGGCACATACCCAGTGGGGAGTGTGCAGGAGGCAGCTGATTGATGTCTCTCTCTCATCGATGTTTCTAACTCTCTATCCCTCTCCCCTTCTCTCTGTAAAAAATCAATAATATATATATATTT